TTTTTTATGACTGAGTAGTATTCCAATGTCTCTTATACACCGCATCTTCTTTATCCATTCATCTGTTGATGGACAGTCAGGTTGCTTCCATGTCTTGGCTATTGCAAATAGTGTTGCTATGAACGTTGGGGTGCATGTATCTTTTCGAGTTAGAGTTTTCATATTTTCCGAATATCATCCATGATTTTTAGGGGTTGTATCTTGAGCTGGGAAAACAACACCATGAAGACAGAGTGAGGAGTCATTCTGGCCTCCTTCAGGTTCACTAGTCACATTGGAAACTTATATGTCCCTGTGATGGTGGGAGACACTTGGACTTGATTTTCCTCCCATGTTGTTTCTCAAAATAGAGCCTCAGAAATATTCATGTAGGACTGCCTTAGCCTGGATGGCAAATAATTTCTACTCATATGGGAATTCAGACTACTTAGTAGCAGTTTCCTGAAGTGTTGTGATGAGCAGGCTCTAAGGCAGATTCGGGGCTCGGTGGGCAGGGGCACTGTCAGGGCTCATTCATGTCTTAGCCCTGGTGGCAGGTGGGCTCATTATTTTGCTGACCTTGTGAAGACTCCAGAACCCTGGGGAGGAGCCTTGTACCCTGGGGCTCCTGGTTTGTCCTCTGATCACTTGCTCCCTTGTACATTTTGCTGTTGTCTATTTCCAGTGCATCCCCTCCCACCACCTCTGGCTTGCCTTCCTCAAAGCCCAGCACTGACCCCTCTGCCAGGGCAGCCTTCTCTTCTCTGCCTCTCCACCTGGCACTGAACCATGGAGCAGTTACTGGGAGAGTAAGGTTTTCAGGTGTTGCTATATTTTATCCCGTGTGAAAGGGGCCATGGTTTCACCTGAGAGAGAGACGTGGACCTTACAAGAACCCTGGAGGCACCTCTTAGGTTTAGAACTTGCCCAAGAAGGATCTGCTCTCTTGGCTCAGTGATAACATGACCTTGCTGGATCAGGCTCAGAATTGGTTGCCCTGAGCTCCTTGGGGTAATTGGTAACTCTAGAAAAGGAAGTTGCCTTTTTGTTTTACTTCCTTGCATCTTCATAGCTGGAGGTGCAAGGGGAACACTGAAGACTTTTTTTTTTTTTTTTTGTCTCGCTACAAAGCTTGCGGGATCTTAGTTCCCCCACCAGGGATCTAACCTGTGCCTCCTGCAGTGGAAGCGTGGAGTCCGAACCGCTGGACTGCCAGGGGATTCCCTGAAGACTTAACTGAGCCTCGACTCAGCTTCAGCCAGTTGCTTTAGTGTGTGGAGGTGAGATATGAATATTTCAGGTCAGCCTGTTTCTACTAAACATGGGCCCAGCACGGCCAGCACCTCTCTGGGACATGTAACACAGTGCTGGCTCTCAAGGAACGCTCTGTCTATATGGGGGAAAAGGTATGTTTGTAGGAAATGGTTAAGTCACATAAGACTAGATGCATTTGTGTCATGCTGAGTGAGACTTTGGTCTGTAGGATGTACTATGACGTTGGTGCAGTTGAAAGGAAAGGAAGGCAGGATCAAGGAGAGAGGTGATAGTGATAAAAGAAGTGGATGTGGGGAGTTGGTAAGAGGAGAGAAGTTTACAGGAAGAGAAAGCTATCCAAGCCAGTGTCCTTGTGTCCTGGCCCAGGGTTATTCACCTGGGAGAGAAGGGTTTTGAAAGACCTGAAGGTTTTCAGGGCTGGTGCTTTTGGTCATTTCTTCCAGAATCCTAACAATGACTTACATTCACAATGTTATTTAAATCTCAGGGAACACTGAGTGCTGTTACTAATAGTTTGGTAGTAGTTTGGAATATGGTCCATAGACAATAGAAAATATAATTTTGATCAGCACTAGGTCCACATCAGAGTTGTAAACTAATCTGAGAAGTGACACGGTTTTGAAGTATAAGATAGGAGAGTAGCCAGTACTGGTAGCCCTGCTTCCCACATCTTCCACAGATAGAAGGGACAAGGTCGAGCAAGAGCAGTATGGCTTTTATTTTCCATGTACTTGTCTCTGTGTGAATTCAAGAGGGTGGCCAACGTTCCTACTGCCATTTTTTTCAAAAGGAGCAAAACTTCTCATACCTGTAATAAGACTCAATTCGATGGAAGTCCTGAACTTGTTAGGAGACAGTGAAACATCAGCCCCTACCTAGTCATATACATCCCCATACACACTGGGCATGAGAATGGTATTTGTGGACCATATGCCTTGGCCTCCTTCCCTTGGTAGGTCCCCATTACTCCAGATAGTCTCTAAATTGGCTAGTGTAATGAAGCAGATGGTGGGCAGGGGAATATCCAGGAGGATACAGCCTATCTTTTTCCTGTTTAACCCACGTACAGGGGCTGATCAAATGAAGCACTGTTAATGTCTGGACCAGTGATACCCAAACTTTAGAGTGCATTAGAACTCCTGAAATGCTTGTTAAAACACAGATTGTTCAGCTCTAATTCCAGAGTTTCTCATTCAGGAGATCTGTGGGTGGGGCCTGAGAATTTGCATTTCTAACCATCATTCCAGATGCTGCTGATTCAGACACCACCCTTTTTTTTTCAGTACGCGGGCCTCTCACTGTTGTGGCCTCTCCTGTTGTGGAGCACAGGCTCTGGACGCGCAGCCTCAGCGGCCATGGCTCATGGGCCCAGCCGCTCCGCGGCATGTGGGATCTTCCCGGACTGGGGCACGAACCCGCGTCCCCTGCATCGGCAGGAGGACTCTCAACCACTGTGCCACCAGGGAAGCCCAAGACACCACACTTTTTGAATTACTGACCTAAGCTATTGGTTTCCAACCTTGCTGGCTGCATATTGGAATTGCTTGGGAAATAAACAAAACAATAAAGCCTAGACTATATCTCATATCATTTTCAACAGAATCTATGTGGGTGGCACCAGACATCAATATTTTTAAAGATCCCCAGGTGAATTAGTCAGTAAGGAAACACAAAGTAAAACCACTATAAGAGGCCACTAGATCTCTATTGTAATGCTCAATTTAAAAAGAAAAAGAAAAAAAGAACTGATCAGATCAAGTGTTGGCGAGGATGTGGAAGAAAAAGACTCATACACTGCTGGTGAAAATGTAAAATGTGCATCCACTTTAGAAAATGGTTTGCTGGATTCTTTAAGAGTTAAATATGTGCTTACCATATGATACAGCTATTCCACTCCTAGGCAGCTATCCAAGAGAAATAAAAGCTTATGCATCTGTGCATATAAAGAAGTGTACATGAATGTTCTTAGCAACTTTGTAATAGCCATAAACAAGAAACCACCTGAATATTAATAAGTGAATAGATAAAAAAAATGTGGTGTATTCAAATAATTTAATACTGCTCACTAATAAAAAACATATACTTAAAAAAAAAGCTCCCCAGGTGATTCCAATGTGCAGCCAAGATTGAGAAATACTGATCTAGGTTCTTGAGACAGAAGACTGTTAATGTAGGTGTACTAGATAAATACAGTAGAACCAAATGTCTCCCATTCTTGGTCTGCGGCAGGATACTCTCGTAGTATGGACATCTTTCCTTGGGATGAATGCAGGTGGCAGTGATTGTGATGGTGGGTCATGGCTTGGACAGAGGTTCAAGCAGAATGAAGAAGGTTGAAACAGCAATCATGAAAATGGTAGAAAAGCTGACTAGGGAAACAGAAGATGATTTCTAGGCAGAAGTGAAAGACCTCTGGGAAGTGGAGACCATAAATTTATTTTGGGGTTCTTCTCCAAAATGTACAATTTTCCCCACCAGCTGTCAGCAGCCTGGGCAAGGAAAATGGACATTTCAACTGATCCAGGGTTAACAAACTTCCAATGCAGTTGCAGACAGTAGGGCAAAGGAGTTAAGGATATTGGTGTGAGAATGGCTAAAGTGATGGACCCTATAGTCTAGGGCCTAATCCCATGAACTCAAGCAAAAGCTTTCTTTTCCCTTTTCTTTTTTTTCCTGATAGGTTGTGTACTAGATATATAAATAATATCACTTTCTGTGAGTAGTCACTCCCTTCCCTATTCCATAGGATTATGGTGAGGCAAACATAGAAGCCTGACCCCACAATTAGGGCAGACAAGTGACCCAGATTTGGCTAAACCTACTATCCCTTTCCCCTGAATACAATGATTAGTCCAGGGGTGAGCACCAGACCTAAACAAGGCCAATCATAGTCCTTCCCTGTAACTGATATTTGGGAGGGGTATCATAGTTTGAGGCAACGTTAGATAGGATGGAAGGCTTCTCCTATGCAGTTACCTTTGAAGTGAGACCTGAATAACAAGAAGCAGAGGAAGTAACAAGCACAAAGGTGCTGAGTTGAGAAGGGTCAAGCTGTTCAAGAAATAAGGAGGCTTGGGGAGAATGCCGTTCCCATTGCCGGAACCGCTGTCCCTTCACTCTTGACCCGGGTAATTCCCGCTCAACTTTCGGATTTCAGCCCAAACATCACTCCCTCCAGTAAGCCCTCCTTGACTTCAAGAGCGGGTCTCCCTTCGCCCCCAGCAGATGACTGGCCTGTTCCTAGGATGTAGGGGTCTGTGTTTACCAGACTCGTGTAGTTCAAGGGAGGGAGTGACGGGATAAGGGATGCAGGGGGGCGCGTGATCTCTGCCCGATGAGAAAGCGAAGCCAACTTTCAATTTCTCAAGTCCAGATCAATGCTTGGGGAGCGACAGCAGCGCGCAGAGCGGCCGATCCCAGGGCGGAAGTGCATCCCCCTGGAGCCTTTCTAGGAAACTCGGAGGACCTAGCTCGTCAGTGATCCTGGGGTTGAAGTGGGGCATCGCCAGGCGCACAGGGCCACTTCAGAGAGCTGGTGTGGCAGGGCAGCGGCGAGATGGGGCTCGGGTGAGCGCGAGAACCGGCGCAAAGCAAGCCTGGAAAGGGTGAGGAGACCCCGGCCTGCCGACCACCTGTTCCTCCTTGGAGTGCGGCGCGCGTTGATTGGCTGGAGTGCGGCCCGGGTACCGGAAGTGGCTGATGCCCATAGCCAGTGAAACCCAGACAACAGCTGCGGGTTCTGAGGCAGCGGGCGGAGCAGCGCGGGGAGCCCGAGGGGAGCGCGTGTGGGGCGGTAGCTGCCTGAGGTGAGACCTCATTCTGTCCCGGCCGGGGATGGAGGGTGCTGCGGTCCCGAACCCCTGGCCCACGAGCCCCGCGAAAACCCGACGTTTAGGCCCGTGCCTGACCCGGGTTCGCTCTGTGACCTTGGACTTTATGGTATCCCCATCCCCCACCGGGTCCCCACCGGCACATACCCTGGACGCGGCCAGGGCCCGTCTCCGTCCTGGTTCCCTGCCCGTCAGCCGCGGGCACAGGAGCAGCAAGGACACCCCCTTCCGCGGGGGTGTCCTTACGTGGGGGATGATGGGAGCTGTGGTTTCCTCTGACATTCCATCCCCAAGTAAGCTGCGGGGACGAAATGGCGGGCAGTGTCATAAACTTCAGGCCTCCTGGCAGACTGTGCCCAGGGCCGGATATTGGTTTAAGAGGGTTAGTTAACGGAAAGGAGACAGGTTTCAGTGCAGAGTTAGTAGAGCCTTTTGATTGTGGGAACCAGGAGGACAGAGGAAAAGAGGATAACAGTGCTTTAAAGTAAGTGTCATCCAGATTGGCAGAAGGAACTTATTTTTACAAATAGTTATTGACGTCAGCTATGTGTCAGACACCGATCTAGGCTCTTTAGATACAAAATGAATGAAATATCCAGTTAGTCCTCAAGGGTGTCACAGATTAGTTATGTAAATAAGATATTTACACAAATTCATTTAACAGATATTTAGCAGGTACCCGAAATGTGCTTGGCGCTGGGAATATCAAGATGAATAGAACATCATCCTTGTTCATGGTCTGAAGAAGGAAGCAGAGATGAAAATAGAGTAACAGTACAATGAGGTAGCTGCAACAAGGTGAAGGAGTCTTAGGGACAGAGAAGAAGACAGAGGGGACTCTCTGTGTCTGAGCTGAGCCTTGTAGATGTTTGTTAAGTGTAAAAGGTGGGCAGTAGTATTCCAGGAAGTGGGAATAACCTGTTCTCAAAGGCAGAGAAGCTTTAAGGAATAAGAAGTGTTTGAACTGCAGCACCCTGAGCATGACTGCAGCTCCCACCTGTCATTGGAGAGCATGGGACAGGAGATGGGAAGGGAGACAGGGGCCTGACCAGGAAGGCATGATGAGCCATGTTAAGAAGTTTTTATTCTGTAGCCATTGGAGAACAGTGAACCGGAAGCGACGTGATAACTGTAGTACAAAGAAAGAGGTGAGTGAAATGCTGATTCAGAGGACCAAGAGATAACCTCCTTCCTGCAGGTGTAAGTGAAGACTTTGGGGAGGAGGTGATCCTTGTACTGGATACTGAGTATTTAGTAGGATCTGACCTTTCAGAAGTTAAGGAAAAGTATTTTTATGAATTAAGATGCTTTTGTCTATAAGTCACAGGATACAATTCAAGCTGGCCTAAAAAATAGTGTATAAGCTCTCATAATTGGAAGTCAAGAGGTAAAGTGGTTTCAGGAATGACTGAATCTAGTGGCCCTGCTGGCTCCATTTCCCCTCAGTTTTCTCAGCTCATCCTGCCTTCATCCACAGCTGGTAGTGAAATGGCAGCAGCGGTTCCAGGCAACAATATGTAGAAGTCTCTTCTGTGGTTCTCTCAGGACGGCAGGAAACTATTCCCAGAAGTTCCCAGCAAACTTCCTCAGAGTATCATTGACCCAGATGAAGGCATTTGTCCATTCCTGAAACAATCCCTACTGTTCTGAACAGTCACTGGCAAGGGGAATGGTATTAACTTAACTGGGTTAACTCACTTGGAGCTCACTCCTGGAGCTCTTGGGTGAGGTCAGATCTCCTGCAAAGAGTGTGAGGCCACTGCAAACTTTTTTGCTCAAATATCCCATAAAATAATTTGAAAAGCTTTGTGTATCCCCTTACGCGTTTGTAAGTTGACATCCAAAATGTTTCATCATTTTTTCATCATGAATTTGAATAGTTGCAAAGGATGTTACTTTTGGTATGTTATAAATTTTGACATTTCAAAATTAAACCTCATGCCAATTGGCAGGATTCCTGCCCTTGGATCCGTGTGCTCACCACATCCTTCACCCTGTCTGTAACCTCCACTCTTCCCTCCTTCCCCCACTTCATTTGTCTCCCTGTCTCACTTGGTCATCTCAACTGTGTCCTGGCTAACATCCTCAAGTCCCTCACTTTCTCATTCTTCCACCACGCATGTCCCCAGATTCCCAGCCTGCTCTGGGGCTGTCAAAAGTGTTGCTGGAGAAAGTCAGGAAAGCACGCCGATTGGCTGATTTCGCTCCTCTCTACACTGATGCCTCCAGCATACTTGTCTCAGCAAGAGGTTGTAAGGGTGTAACAAGAGAATGTGTGTAAGTTGCTTGGCACATAGTAAGAGCTTTCATTACTCCCCAGAAGGTTAGTGCATCCTCACTTATCTTCTTTCCTTCTTTACCCCAACTCTGCACATGCTACATTGAGGTCAGAATGTTCTTTCTGTTCCTTTTCTTATTCCTCTTGTACTTCCTAGTCTCTGAGGCTTTGCTCACCCCATGCTCTGCCCAGAATGCTGTTAAGTGCAGTAGTCTTCAAATGACATATATTGAGGGAGTCCACAAACATTTTCTGTAACATCTGTAAGTGCATGGATTGTTGAATGGACATCAATCTCTAGATCCTTGGCTTCAGTTTGTACCCTTGCCTACCACCAGTGTGCTTGAGAGTGGACCTGTGGCCTATAGATTTCTCTTTTCCACCTCCTTTTTCACAGTTGCTGTTTTCCTCCTTTACAGAAGAAAGACATACCTCTCACCCGTGCCCTCCTTAATTTTACTATGGCATATCACTCTGGGGTGGAAAAACCTCTGGAGTGCCACACAGGGGGACAATTTTCTGAGGGAGTAAATGATTCTTGGACCTTTTATAACTCAAGTCCCAATCTTTGCTTTTTTAAAATTTTTTAATTTTTTGCAACCTTTGCTTTTAACAACATTTTAAAAAGACCTAATCAGGCTGTCAGCTGATAGATTATTCAATGATTTTTTACTAAAAATCACAATATGTTTTTGGCAGATAAGTTTAGAGGATTAAGTGATATTGCTATCCCAAGAGATTGCTGTAAACTCTGATTTAGGTAGTTTGGGCAGACTCAGGTCCAGTCACAGTAACTAGGGTCAGTCTGATAAGTGTAATGGAAATGTGACCTAGTCAGTTGTATTATATTCCCTGTCTGCTTCCAGAAGTTTAGGGTAGGGTTGGGGGAGGGGTCAAGTTGGAGGGCAGGAAAAAAGAATGCAGAGCAAGAACTGGCAGTGTTATCTGTAATCCTGCTGCTTTGCACATGCGTTGATCTGCTTGGTGGACCAGACCTTGGTAGAGATGGATGCACCAGACTGAGAGTTAGATAACTCCAGTCACTCAGACTATCTAACACAGTGGTTCCCAAACCTGATAGGGCATCAGAATCACCTGGGCACTTGTTAAAACTACACATTCCTTTGCCTACTCCTGGAGATTCTGACTCTGAGAGGTCTGATGTGGGACCTGGAAGTTAGTATTTTTAGAGATTTTCCAGTTGACTTTTCTGCATCTAACCTAATTCCAGGCCAAGAATCATTATTTAAGGATTGTTCATTAAAAAAAAAAAAAATCTTCCTGCTATGATTGTAAGCCAGCTAAACAATTTTTAGGGTTTTATGTGGCTTCTCATGTAGACAGTATGGTCCTTTTGAAGTTTTATTTCTCATGGTTAATTAATAGGTGGATATTTGGTTTATGCATCAGTATTTTGTGAATGAGGATTTCTGAGTGCATTGAAAAAAAAAAAAAATCCAGATCTGCAGAGTTGAAGACCCTATTCTGAACTATGGAGACCCAGTAGTTGCTTGTCATCCCCCAGACTGAGGACCAAGAGTGGTCATCCTACTCCTAAGATGGCACATCCATCTTATCTCTCTCCAGAAACAACTAATTTCAAATTTAGAAAAGTGAAGAAGTGACAAACATAAGAAATTATGTTTGGAAATTTAAATTTATGCTATGAGTAATAGAGTGTTTCCATATGAGTACGAGGTCTAATGTGTATCTGTGTCTCTGGAAAATCAACCAAAAGGAGAATGGCTTTGGGACTTCCCTGGCGGTCCAGTGGTTAGAACTCTGCGCTTCCACTGTAGGGGGCATGGGTTTGATCTCTGGTCAGGGAACTAAGATCCTGCATGCCACACAGTGCATCCAAAGAAAAAAAAAAGGAGGATGGCATAGATTTGTATATGAGAAGGTGTCTATTAGACAAAACAATATTTAACAAATGGCATTAATATCGTGTCGCTGGTGGAATGCAAAGTAAAAGAATAGTCAGAGGGGGCAAATTTTAGTTGGGGAAGACTTTCTGGACTAGAATTTTGAACCAGGTGTTGAAGTTGGGGATAGATATACATACCTAACTTCTATGTCTTGCATCTTGTTTTACTGTGGACACGTGATTTTCCATATGGTGTGGGACAGATGTGGGTTTTATGAATGCTGACTTTATATGGAGCTTGATGTTGGAAAAGAAGTAACTGTAGGAGAGATGCTGCTGAAAAGGAAAGGCCAGCGAGGGGGTCAGAAGTAGATAGGGACTGAAATACCAGCTTGTAGAACTTGTTCTTGGCTGAGCATTAGAGAGAAATTTATTTAAGGCAGTACTTTCTAATTCAAATAGTACCATGGATGAAGATAGCTAAATTCTCTACAGTGGATTCTTACACTTACATAGGTACACATTATCTATAATTTTCAAAAATTTCAGTGAAAAGGAGAAATCTAGATTTTGTGTGCCTGCCCTTATTCCAGGGGAAAATTAGAGAAGGCGCTGAGTGGGGGAAAGTTGAAGAAGATTCCAGGTCATTTTTAGGGGTAGCACAAAGAGCTTCCAACAATTCAGGATTTCAGTAGGAGATCAGGTTCCTTCCAGGTGTCAGGAAAGAGGGCTTACCAGGGCTGCACCCCTAAGTGACTAGGGAGGCCAGAGGGTATGATCCTGTGGGTGACTGGAGACTGGGCAGAGAAAAGGGGCAGTACAAAGGGCACCCCCAAATCACCCCTTTCCCCTTCCCTCACCACTTGACCCCAGTCTCTCCTGCCTCTCAGGATCTTCATTTCTTCAGCAATCTCATCTTTTCATCCCTCTTAACCTTTCTCTCTACTGGCACCATCCTTTCTAATATAAGCATGTTCAAATCTCTACCATCAGAGAAAATTCTTCTTTGACTTTCTTTGACCTTTTACACTACTGCCCATCTTGGTCCTCTCCTTTAACCCAAATTTTTTGAAAGAAGCAGCAAATTAATTAATCAGTCCACTGCCAGCTGGCTTCTGCTTCTGTCATTCCATTGACTCTGTTTTTACATGTCATCTGTGACCACCTAATTGTCCCAGCAGACGTTTTCCAGTTCTTATCCTACTGGATCTATCAACTGTGTGTGACGCTTTGTAATTCCCTCTGCCATTGCCTTGGTGACTTATATGACACTTTTTCTGGTTCTTCTCCTACTTCACTAACCATTCTTTCTCTTCTTGGCAGGCTTCTCTTCCTCTAACTACCCCTTTATCATTAGGGTTCTAACAGGAAACAGGTACTTTGCTCAAATTAGGATAATTTGAGTAGGGTTTAGTTGCAAAGAAGTTAATATAAAAGATGTAGGTGTAGGCAGGGTACTGAGGAAGCTGGGATTGGCAATAGCAGAGTAGTCACCAGCCCTAGGCCAGAAGAGGCAAGAGGTAGGGGAGGGCCTGGAGCCCACAGAGACAACTGGGTAGGATGATTCCTTGAGAGGAGTAATGAACTTCAATTGAGGGACACCATGAACCCAAGGTGATCTCATAGGAAGGAACCAGGAGGATAAATACTCTGACCTCACTCTCCTCCCTCCTTCCAGCCTCCTGCTAGGGCTCCCCATTGGTGGAACACAACTGGAGGCCAGAGGGCCCCTTGATGTGTGCTATATAGGTTACCTTCTGGGGCAGAGAGCAGGGTGAAGAAAAGTTGAAAGGTCTGGAGGGGAACATGGAAGTTAACTGGAGTACTCTTCAATGTTGGCCTTGGCTTTCTACGTTTCTGTCTTCAGTATCTGACAGTTGTCACAGCTATACTCATTATTGTCTATGCTGAGTACTCTCAAGTCTGTATCTTTAGTCCTGACTGCTCTAAGCTTTAGACCAATATATTTTGACTGATTCCTTGGTACTTCTGTATGGATGTGTTGAAACTCATCTTGTCCAAAACACAGCTCATTTATCATCTTCCCCCCTAACCTAGCTGCTCCTCAATATTCCCAACCTTGGTGGTATCACTATCCATCTAATTACACCTTCCTTACACCTATATCCAATCATACCCCAAGTCTTAGAGAATTTGTCCTCTCAAGCACTTCTCTAGTCTGTTTCCTCTTCATTCACACTACCACTATTACCCTAGTTAGATCTCATCACCCTTTGCCTTGATGACTGCATCAGACTTCTAACTGATCTCCTTTATGTCCTGGTCTGCTGCTTTCTGGTTCAGCCAGTAAATGGCCACTTGTGTATATCTACCTGAAATGCTAATCTGACCATGAACTGTGTCATTCCTTCGCTTAAAAACCATTCCATGACTCTGCAATATAAGGATGAAGTCCCATAGCTGCCCCATTCCCCCTTGAGAATCACCTTCGGCAATTAACACTTTTATTGATAGGAGGATTGTGTTGCTCAGATTCGCTGTCGTGCACAGATGCACTGCTCTAGGCAAAGGGCCTCTCCTCTTCAATATTAGCTCCCGGTTGCTTAATACCTGAACAGAAGCTGGGCTCATTTCCCCAGCATTTGGATCTTCTGTGAGGGGACAGCTAAACCCCTGGGGCCATTGTACCAATTAGGAGCAAGTTTGGCTTCATAAATTAAAAAACCATAATAGCTTAAGCAAGGAAAAAGCTTCTTTCTCTGTTAGATAAAAGAAGTCCAGAGGCAGGTGTTCCAGGGCAAGTATGGCAGCTCCACAGAGTCATCAGGGACCCAGGTGCCTTCCTGTTCTTGTCCCACTGTAGGGTATGCTGGTGAACTCATGGTCCAGGATGGCACTTCAGCTATCACTTCATGTCCCAGGCACAGCACAGAAGAAGAGGGTGAAGAAATGTATCCCCTTACTTTTAAGGAGATATCCCAGAAGTCCCTCATGCTGTCATTTGCATTTTACTGTCTCATTGGCCAGAAACTGTTTACATAGCCAAATCTAGCTGCAAAGAAGGCTGAGAATATATTTCTTTAGGCAGCCTCATTGCTACAAAAATAAATTCATTATTCTGTTGCTGATGAGGTGGCGAAGAGTGGAAATTGGGATAGACAACTAAAAATCCTTGCCACAGCCTTTTAGAAGTTTTAAAAAAGTATAGGCTTTAAGATTTATAAAAGTGCTAAGAGGGGCTTCCTTGGTGGCGCAGTGGTTAAGAATCTGCCTGCCAATGCAGGGGACACGGGTTCGAGCCCTGGTCCAGGAAGATCCCACATGCCACGGAGCAACTAAGCCGTGCGCCACAACTACTGAGCCTGTGCCCTAGAGCCTGCGAGCCACAACTGCTGAGCCCGCGTTCCACAACTACTGAAGCCCGCACACCTAGAGCCCGTGCTCTGCAACAAGAGAAGCCACTGCATTGAGAAGCCTGCGCACCGCAGCGAAGAGTAGCCCCCGCTCGCTGCAACTAGAGAAAGCCCACGCACAGCAACCAAGTCCCAGTGCAGCCAAAAATAAAATAAATTTTTAAAAAACTAAAAAAAAAGTGCTACGAAAATTGTATAAAGGGACCAATTACAATATTAGTAAGTAAAAATCAACAGCATTGCTATATGTATGTATATATATATGTGTGTACACACACACACACACACACACACACACACACACACATATAATAACAACTAGATATAAAATATAAGAAAAACTCACTAAAAGAGAAGACATACAGAAACGTGATGGATATAAAAACATCAGGGTAAGTTTGGAAATTTTACAAAATTATACTAAAATTTATTTGGAAAAATAGAATAGACAGGAATATTTGAGAAAGAAGACTAACAAGCGAGCACTTTCTCTAACATATTAAAAAATTTAAAGCTACAGTAGGTTGAACAGTTTGGTGTTAGAGAGGGAATAGATCAATAGAACTGAATGGAGCCTGGAAATTGACCCAGATATATATGGAACTTTAGACTATGGTATAGGAGGCATTTCAAATTAGTAGGGAAAATTAGGTATTGATACAATTTAGTAACCATCTGGAGAAAATTAAGCTAGAACCATACTTTATCCAAATATACGGGAGCCAAGGGTGGTTCCTTCTGTCCCTGTTATAGCTAAGTCACATTAACCTTTTGAATAGGTAACGCCTACAACATATACAATCCCCTATTCTCTAGAGCTGGTGAGCGCCACAGAACTGGACTAAAGATATTTCTTCTTGCTACTCATTTCTGGTTTCTTCCTCTGTAAACCCAAAGGTTATATTAGTCATTTTTGTCCCTTTCCCAACCTTTTCCATATACCATCTATTAATATGGCCATAATTTTCCTTAAATGTTTTTATTACCAACCTCAGTTTCTGCCTCAATTCACTGTTAATATTATGGAACTTTTATCTTCTTACCATCCATTTCCTGTTCTCTCCTTAAATCTCTTCCTCTGATAATTTCCCTCACTCTTCTCAGTCAGCGTCTGCTCTTTGTGTAGCATGTCCACCATAATCCTAAATCTTTCTCTTCTCTTCAGCAGCGTCCTGTAATCTCACCAGATACAGAGAGTGCTTTTGGGTGCTGTCAGAACCATGTCAAGCTCCATACTCCCTAGTATTGGCTTCATTTAGCTGAGATACAGCCACTTCACAGACTTACCCTCTCTCATTTCAGATTGTGAGATGGGGACTGAGAACAAGGAGGTAATTCCCAAGGAAGAAATTTCTGAAGAATCTGAACCACATGGGGCAATATTAGAAAAACTTCCGAAGGTGGTTTATCAGGGTCACGAGTTGGGAGCAGCATGTGAAGAAGACATATTGGAGGAGCATTCCAGAGAGTCCACAGAAGAAGTTCTGGAGCAGGTGTCCCCTGAGGAGAGAGACTTTGCATCAGGGTTGATTATCTTTAAGAAATCACCCTCAAGTGAGAAAGACCATGAGAATAATGAAAGTGAGCGAGCCTACAATCCTAGCTCAAACCTGATCACGTACCAGGGAGATACTACGGCAGAGGCAGTTAGCACATTTGCTGCTTCTGGCCAAAACTTCATAGAGAATTTAGGACCTAATAAAACACATAGAAATTCTCTGGGAGAAAAGCCTCATACATGTAAAGAATGTGGGAAAGCCTTTAATCAAAACTCACATCTTATTCAGCATATGAGAGTTCATAGTGGTGAGAAACCCTTTGAATGCAAAGAATGTGGAAAAACATTTGGAACTAACTCAAGCCTTCGAAGGCACCTGAGAATTCATGCTGGAGAGAAGCCCTTTGCTTGTAATGAATGTGGAAAGGCCTTCATTCAGAGTTCACATCTCATCCACCATCACAGAATTCACACTGGAGAGAGACCTTATAAGTGTGAAGAATGTGGTAAAGCCTTCAGTCAGAATTCAGCCCTTATTCTACATCAGAGAATCCACACTGGGGAGAAACCATACGAATGTAATGAATGTGGGAAGACCTTTAGGGTTAGCTCACAGCTTATTCAGCATCAGAGAATTCATACTGAAGAAAGATATCATGAATGCAATGAGTGTGGCAAGGCCTTCAAGCATAGCTCAGGCCTCATTAGACACCAGAAAATTCATACTGGAGAAAAACCCTATCTGTGTAATGAATGTGGGAAAGGCTTCGGTCAGAGTTCTGAGCTCATCCGGCATCAAAGAATTCATACAGGAGACAAACCGTATGAATGTAATGAATGTGGGAAAACTTTTGGCCAGAACTCAGAGATTATTAGACATATTAGAATTCATACTGGTGAGAAGCCCTACGTATGTAAGGAATGCGGGAAGGCCTTTAGGGGAAACTCAGAACTTCTTAGACATGAGAGAATTCACACTGGAGAGAAACCCTATGAATGCTTTGAGTGTGGAAAGGCTTTTAGGCGGACCTCTCATCTTATTGTCCACCAGAGAATTCATACTGGAGAGAAACCTCATCAGTGTAATGAATGTGCCAGAACCTTTTGGGATAACTCTGAGCTGCTTCTCCACCAGAAAATTCACATTGGAGAGAAACCTTATGAATGTAATGAGTGTGAGAAAACATTCAGCCAGCATTCCCAACTTATCATACATCAGAGAATTCACACTGGAGAGAAGCCTTACGAGTGCCAAGAATGTCAGAAGACCTTTAGTCGGAGTTCTCACCTCCTCCGACATCAAAGTGTTCACTGTATGGAATGATCTGAAAAGCATGAAAGCCTTCTGTGGAAAAGCTGAAGTCAGACTTATTGTCCTCAGTCTGTACCCCAATTTCTCAGATCAAATGAATGGACAGAACCTCCTCTGTCCTTTTACTGATTTTTATTTAAACAGTTGGTCAAAAAGGATGAGGCACTTTTATGAACTATTCATTGAGAAGTTTCAGTGTACTGAGTTAAATCATAAAAGCTGTTTCAGGCCTTAATTCTTCACTATCCCTTTTTCCTTTCCTTCCTCCCTCCCCACTAGTGGATCACATAACATTAGGGGTCTTTACTGGCCATCTAGCCCAAATTGTTACTGTTCAGGAAAAATGGAAGAACATGATTCCACCACTTCCTAGGAATGACAGAGTTGACCCCTTGAATATTATCCCTGAAATGTTAAAGTCATGGCCTAGAAGACACACCTCTGTCTTTCCCACTGTTTATCATTGGAATTTAGTAAGCTTTTATTAGCTTCAAAATCTTCCAAACTTGCTATCAAGTTCCCTTGGAAGATGGCAGCATTAATGAAGAAGCGGGAAGCGTGGGTCATTTCTCATCTCCTGCTAGGCTTCCTTAGTCATCTGAGAGGGTGCCATGATAGGGGAAACTGACAAGCAATTTATAGGATTGTAAGTGAAGGCCCTCAGAATCCAGAGGGGCTGATTAGCAAGGCCAGGGGATAAACAAGTGAGGCCAGACTACTCAGCATGGGCAGAAGCAGCTCTTTTGCAGCTCTTTCTCATTTCAGGGCCGTTCAGACTGAGTGCTCCCAAGAACTCTGCTGCATTCACTTTGGGCCCCAGCTTGTGCTGCTGCTGACAGATCCTGTGTTAGGAAATAACAAAGAGGACTGCAGCTTCATTGTCACTAGGCACCTGGCCACAGTGATGAGCTGGTTCACCTGACTGACCAGGACCCTGCCTTGCCAAAGCACTTAAGCTCCCATGACCTGGGCCCCACTGCTGGGGTCCCTGGCTAATAGGCCAGGATATGACAGCCTCTTCTCAATTTGCCCTAGTCTTTGGAATTCTCTTTCTTCAGCATCTCTACATGTGTTTTCTGTGTTCTCTTACGTGTTTTTTTTTTTTTTCTTCAAGGAAACACATCCTCAATTTTTCATGTGTCAATGTTTCTGAGTCAGTGAATGGTAGTGGGAATTGCACTAACGGGGATCCAGCTTGCTTGGGGTCTGGTCTTAGAACTAGACCTTGAATAAGGCACTTCACCTGCTGATCCCTAATTTCCTCATCTGTAAAATGAGAGGAATTGAACTAAATGATCTCAAGTTTCAACTGGCCCAATAATTCCTTTTTTCTTTTTAAAAAATTTAACTTTATATATCTTCAGTGTTTTAGTCTTTAATCTCTTTATTACACTGATATTAATCACTAGTATTTATTGAATTTTTACTATGTGCCAGGCACAGTGCCAGACAGTTTACATTTTCGTTTTCACAGCCTCCCTATGGTGTGGTCACTCTTTTTTTTAAAAACAAACAAAACGGCTTTATTGAGATATAATTTACATACCATAAAATTCACCTGTTTAAGTGTTCAGTTGAATGCTTTTTAGTTAATTTACAGAGTTGCACAACCATCAGTGATGTGGGTTCTCTTACACCAATTTGAAAGGTGAGGGGCAGGGGAGATGTCAAGTAACTTGCCCATGATCACACAGCTGGTAAGTGCTAGAGCCAAGACTCCAGCCCTGAGCTGTGCTCCTAAGCACTATGTTGTACTGTGAATAGGTGCATGCATTACTGCCTTATTCGAAATCCTTTGTACATTTTCTATTCATTATTAATTACTACATGAATTTGAATATAATGGATTTAAATCATGTCCTTGGAAACATAATTGGTCATAGCCAAAACCCATCAAGTGGGTTTATTCTGTACCCCGATATGTGCCCCCACCCCCGGGCTCATGCTCTTGGCTTGAGAAAAGGGCTGTACAAGTAAAACAGTTGATGGGGACTTCCCTGGCAGTCCAGTGGTTAAGACTTTGCCTTCCAATACAGGGGTGTGGGTTCGATCCCTGGTCGGGGAGCTAAGATCCCACATGCATCAAGGCCAAAAAACCAAAACATAAAGCAGAAGCAATATTGTAACAAATACAGTAAAGACAAAAAAAAAGTCCATATCAAAATAAACAGAAAAAAGCTGATTACACAGTTTCCACATCCTTTCAGGTACCTCTGTCTCTAGTAGTTAGACGTTAGCAGAAGTTCTTTAACTCATCTCTTTCCATAGGGTGTTTACAAGTGCAGTGTGCTCTCATTCCTTTTTTCATCACTCAAGCTCAAATTGAATTATACCCAAACATATCTTTCTCATGTGAAACCTGGATGTTACTTATTCCCTTAACTTCTTATTCCTGTGTTTGAATATTTTATTTGCACATTCACCCCTTGCCAGCCCTTAATATAGAACTCAGCACCTCTTCAAGCTCCCCAGAAAGGATCCCCTCACAGAAACATATCCATGAGTAATACAGACTCTACTCAAGATTCTGGTGTGTAAGAGGTGGAGAAGGGGGTTTGTATCCTACTAGACATCTCGTTCTCAGCAGTCCCTTCTTTGCCAAACTGCCACTGAAGGTTTTTCTCTTTGTCCTCCCCTCTCAGGGCTGTCAACTCAGCTCCTTTTTAGGCCCTTCAATAACAGACCGCTCATTGGAACACTAGAAGGCAATTTAGTGACCAATTTTTGTTGTGCCTGATCATATTAAGGGAAGAAGTTCTCACCTCTCATTCTAAGAAGAATTTTCCAACATATATTAATTCTTTCCCAAGAGAAATTCTGGTGAATGAAATTATTTCCACCTTGTTATATACACTACACACACATCCTGTAACCTCACTACCTGCCCTTATCCACCTTACACCCAGCTAGCTCAGAAATATTTCTCTTTTCCTTGTTTGCCCCCTCCCCCTCAATTTTCTTAGGAGCCAAAATCTGACCATAATATAATTGACTGGTAGTCATAATCTAGTGCAAGTAGAATTCTATCAAGGAAAGAAAAGATGTGAATTTTCTTAATTTTAGACCCATTAAAAATACCAGGCCTCACAATCTCAAAAACCTACCAAAATACCCAGAAATGCCCTTCAGAATTTTTGCAGACCTAACCATGTACATTTTCATCCTTCCCTAATTAAACAGTTTTACTGGTATACTAACACTTTATGTAAATAAAGTATTTCTTTACAGTTTTACTGATTTGATGCCTTTCTAAGTATATTCCAAAGTACATTGTTTCATTATGGTCTTAATATGACTTTGTATGCCATTTTCCTGCCATCCTATAAATTTCACCTTAGTACCCCAACATGTGCTCTGGTAGCTTCTGGTTTTACATAAGCTGTTCACTCTGTCCTTTTATTTATTTATTTTTAAAAATTAATTATTTTTGGCTGTGTTGGGGTCTCATTGCTGTGTGAGGGCTTTCTCTAGTTGCGGTGAGCAGGGGCTACTCTATGTTGCGATGCGTAGGCTTCGTCACGTGGCTTCTCGTTGCGGAGCATGGGCTCTAGGTTCGTGGGCTTCAGTAGTTATGGCATGCAGCCTCAGTAGTTGTGGCACACAGGCTTACTTGCTCCACGGCATGTAGGATCTTCCCAAACCAGGGCTCGAACCCGTGTCTCCTGCATTGGCAGGCGGATTCTTAACCACTGCGCTACCAGGGAAGTCCTGTTTACTCGGTCCTTGATCTTCTGCTTTGCTTGGTGAGGTCTTTTATCTTTCATGACAGGGCAAATGTTACCTACTTTGTTTATCTAGATAGATACAGTTAGTTTTTCAGGATTATCAACTTAATGTAAGGTATTCTGGATCTGGAATTTCTTGGTATCCAGTGGTTAGGACACCGTGCTTTCACTGCTGAGGGCCCGATCCCTGGTCAGGGAACTAAGTTCCCACAAGCCTTGCGGTGCGGGGGGTGGGGGGGGGGGAAGATATTCTGGATTTTAAAAAAATGTTACTGAGATTTCTGTGCTGGTGTTTATTATTGTTTTGTTTTAACATGTTCTCCTGTGTGACTCCTGGTCTGAGGCAGTTTCCTTAGGTTGTTAGGTAGGGGGTCTTTGAGACTCAGGAAAGCTCTATCTAGAAAAATGTGCATGCACATTCAGGGAATTCATGGACCATCTGAAACTCATCTTTGGACCTCTGTAGTCCTTTACACGGTCCTGAAATCAAACTTTTACCTATAAAACAAATTATCAAGTAACCCGCAATAACCTCTACCTCACCACATCTCTCAGCTTTGGGGATGAAGCTATGCCAAGACTATCCTCCTGGGTGAACCCCTGAAAGTGAACGGGAGTTGGAGCCTCAGTAAAATCCAGTGGGAAGCGGGACGTGGTGATTCTGGTGATAACCTGAGGCGAGGAGCCTCAATAACGGGGTCCCTGCACATTCATCAACCACCTGCTGAGCCCCTACGACGTGTTGGGACCTGTGCAACGCGCGGGGGGCTAAGCGCTAAGAGGCTGGTGGGGACTTGAGCTATGCAGTAGAGGTCAGCGCTGCGGAGGGGGGAGTAGGCTAGAAGGCTTCGATTCTCCCACGGAGCAGGAAGCCCGCCTCCTCCCTGAGAGCTGGGGAGCGGCGGCCGACGAGGCAGGCGCGGCCCCCTCCTCGAGCCCCAGGACGCGAGCTCACTCCTCTGCACCCGCTGGCCGTCCCTGCCACGTCCTTGTCTCCAGCCGGGCCTTGCACTGGGGCTCGGCCGCGACTCGCATCTCTCCTGCGGTGCCGCTGACGAGAAGGCTGATGTTTATTTGTACTACGCTTTGCAGTGTTTTCATCGGTGGACCCAACTTTGCCGGCACCGACCCCGACGAACCTCTAAGTCATCGAACGCGCTCGGCCACCACTGCCTCCGCGACCAAGAGGTACTGATAAGAGCCTCACCGAGCCCTGAGGCTGGGGCCGCTCTCGGAAGCCTGGGGACCCTTGTCCGTGCGCCACCTGGCGGGCGGGGGCGGGCCGGGGCGGCGCGCGGCGTGATTGGACGAGGGCCGGGGTGCCTTTTTGCTGGTGACCGGTGGGGGCCGGAGGCTGAGGTGGGAGGGCCCCGAGAGTGGGCTACTGCGCGCTGCTGACCCCGAAGTCAAGTACTGGGGCGCCCGCCGGACGGGACCTGGGCTGGCGTATCTCAGGCCGCTGTGATTTGTCGTTTGTGAGGACGTTTCACATCCCCGGGTGGGATCTATT